TAAACAGGACAAGAGTGACAAACAAGGCAGGAGCATGTCTCCTCAAGAGAGAGGGATGTGGGGGTGATGGATGAGGGGAGGGGGAAGGATTGATGGCAAAGAAAGGGTTGATGGCAATCCCCAGCCTAATAAAACTCAAATAGGGCAATTTCTTATTCCGAAATCCGTCAGTGACCTTTGGCAAATCAATTCATCTCTGTCTGTGCCTCTAGTAAATGGGAATAATACAGCCTTGCTGTCTGGAAAACGCTTGGTGATTCTCAGATGAAAGATGTTTTATTGGTAGCAGTATCATCCTTCACTGTCATTAGCATGATAACAGATCCATCACCTAGCAACAGAGCAGCCTGTCCACGGATTTCTCTTGGATTTTGGCTCTCTAGCAGCCTGCTTTTCATTGCAAGAGGTTTTACAACCTGTGGCTGCTCTTTCCTTAATGTCCCTGCTCCAGACAAGCACATCTGCCACGCCCCAAGACCTCCTGCCCCCTTTCACTGCCTCCTGGTACCTCTCACCATCACAGCAAACAAAATTTGCTTCTCTTAGCTAAAGCATCCCAGCAGAAGTTTTGAACTTTAAAATATAAACTTCGTGCAACCTCAGGAGTACAACTATCTTTCAGATGTGCACAAATTACAGGGGGGAAAGCAGCAATCAGGAAGCTTTGTAAAATTTGGCAGAAGCCACAGTTTTTAAGGACAAAGTTGCACGTACATGAATGTCACCAGCCACTGAGGATCAGGAGTCCTGCCAAGCCCTGTGATGCCTTTAGACATGTGACAGGAGCATCCTTCCACCCTCAAGTGGTGCACAGACCAACCTAAACCACTAAAACCAGCATCAGCAACTACTTGGAGAGAGGATCAAAGAGAAAGATAAGGATACCAAAAGCACTGTCCTGCTTTGTCTGAGACAAGCCATCCCTAATAGTTATTTTTTGTCTAAGCCCTCTGCTCAAGCACAGCTGTTTTGGGAAGGCCCCTTGCTGGAAGAGATAAGGGGAAGTTGTGCACAAGGATTTTTAGCTGTTAAGGAGCATTAAGATTCGTGTCTATTAAAATACATGAATTCATGACTGCAACCCTCAGTTTGCATGACTGCTTATTAAAAAATACTGCACAGTCAGTAGCTCTTTCAGTTTCTGAAGGCACAGCAGCCACTCCAAGGCATCAATTACTTTTTCTTTCAGAGATGAAAACCCCCCAGAGCCATCTCATGTTTCCAGGTCAGTACCTGGGCCTGAGCAGGGCTGTCACCATGGTGCTGCCTGGGACACGAGGCAGAGTGTGACACTGTGACACGGGTAATTGCCAGCAGTTTGCCTTTCTTGCCCCTCATCACCCCAGCACAAAGTACAAACCACAATGGGTTTAAGAAGTTGCCTTTTAAGGTTTTATTTACCGTGCCTGAAAGGATTTGAGGATGGGCAGTGTGAAACCCCTGTAAGAATTGTTTCTGAGGTCTCAGCAGCCCTTTGAAGAGGTGAGTGTGACCTTCCCTAATTGCTGTGTAATCCCATCCTCAGCCTGGGAGGCACAGGTAAATAAATAAATAAGCAAGCAGGTTCCCAGCCTGGCAGTGACTCGGGGTTTGGTGTCTGCATTCAAAGGGGGTTGCAGGTAACTCAATAAAGATGATCCTGTCCAGGCAAGCTGATCTCTTGGCAGCCACAATTCAAACACTGGGAAATCTGAGCAAAGGGTGGGCTGGGAAGAGAAGGGATTGCCTGAGCACACAGCGTTAGGCTCTCCCAGCAAGGACAGAAATGAGGAAGGTGTTTGTTCCTGACATCCTGCCTTCCCTGTATTGTTGAGCACCCCTAAATCAGTGCCACAGGAGACTGGCCCAGGCATCCCACAGCACAGGCCCCGAGAGGGCTCAGTGGATGCCACATCCCTGTTTCCTGGAAGGATTGCTCAGCACAGGCACCAGCAAATACCAGGAGGATTTTCATCCTCAGCCTCATCACTCCTGCATTTGGAGCAGGTCTGGTGGGCAGGGAAGTCCCATTTTCCATGGAATCACTTGTTTGGGTGGCAGGGGAATTCTCCATCTCTGCCCCAGCCCTGTGCTGTCCCCTGGACACCTCGCACAGACCAGGAGGGGCTGTGGGAGCACAGGGCAGGTCTCTGCCTGGCTTATTGCTGCTCCTGCAACACTGCCCTGCCTGCAGAGATGCAATTAATCCCTGCAGAGACTGCTGCAAGCCCCAGCCTGGGCTCAGGGGCTCAGCCCAGCACTAGGCAGCAGCTGCTGGGGGGCTTTTTGGAGGAAGATTTTTCCACTGTGTGCAGTGCCTGAAGGTAAAGGGAGGCTCTTCCCTCCCTGCTAACAGTGGGGGTGCTGCTTCCTGAGGCAGCAAAGCCCCTCTGACATTGAGCAAGTCCTTGCCACTGGTGGGAATCAAGGGCTGTTTGTCAGAGGAATGGCTGGATTTGGACTTTTGAAGGCTCTCCCAGCCTTCATGCTAATGAAGGGTTTTAACCTCATGGAAAATCCTGCGCTGTGTATAAAGCCTTGGTTCAGGGGGTCCATCAAAGGCAGGGAAATCACTGAAAACCACAGGCCTGCAAGTCTATGGGTGTGTCCATGCACGACCATTGTCACCTCAGGTCCCCATGGCAGGGCTCCCAGCCTGGACCGGAGGCCAGACAGTCCCAGCAGCCCATGACCCCAGCATGTCCTCCCCTTCCCTGAAGAGAAATACTGGAATGGAGTGCTGGAAGAGGGCTGTGGTGATACACTGTCCTGGTGAAGCACCAATCTGCTCTGCTCCAGTGAGATTTCTGCAGATGTTCACTCAGGGCAGCGGACACAGACCCAGCCACAGCCCACCCCCATTTCCCAGCAATTTCTTGGTAGAACACACTGAAACCCCTGTGCACAGTGCAGGCTGGGCTGTGAGCTGGACTGAGCAGCTCCCAGAGGAACGCTGTGGGGCCACCGTATCCTGCTTGCAGAGCCCTCAGGGTGCACTGCGTGCCAAGCCCTCAGGAGACCTTCCCGCCATGCCCTGAGGGAGGGGCCTGCCCGCCATGCCCTCAGGGCAGCCTGCCTGCCATGCCCTCAGGGAGGCCTGCCTGCCATGCCATCAGGGCGGCCTCCCTGCCATGCCCTCAGAACAGCCTGCCTGCCATGCCCTCAGATCAGCCTGCCTGCCATGCCCTCAGAACAGCCTGCCCGCCATGCCCTGAGGGCGGCCTGCCTGCCATGCCCTCAGGGCAGCCTGCCTGCCATGCCCTCAGGGTAGCCTGCCTGCCATGCCCTCAGGGCACCTGCCTGCCATGCCCTCAGAACAGCCTGCCCGCCATGCCCTGAGGGCGGCCTGCCTGTCATGCCCTCAGAACAGCCTGCTTGCCATTCCCTCAGGGTGGCCTGCCTGCCATTCCCTCAGGGTGGCCTGTCTGCCATGCCCTCAGTGACAGCACGTGTGTACCAGGGATTTGCAGCAGCTCTGCCTGGGCCAGGCCTGAGCCTCTCTCCTGACAGCCCTGGCAGCTCCCTTTCCATCCTTCAGATGTTGCAGCAGCCCTGAAAATGAACATTGCACAGCAAGTGCTGCTAGCAGTGCTGGCTCAGCAGAGAAAACCCAAACACAGCTGCTGGAAGGGGTGAGGCGTGCTCTCAAAAGCACAATTCCACTTATTTAGGAAGGGGAAAGGTTAGCATAGGGCTGCTTTCAGTCTGGGGAAAAGCACCAGATGCCATTTTATCTAAACCTGGGCTCTCAGATGCTTGGTTTTCCCCAGCCTCATATTCTGAAGCACTTTCCCTGCACAAGCATCCAGCTCTTTTCATCCAGGCCTCTGCACCCAGCCATCCAGCCCAGCTGCAGTGCCACTTCCAACAGAGCCCTGAGGCTCCAGAAATGTAAACAGATTGAAACCTCTCAGATGTGCTTGGGAGCCTTTCAGGCCAGGGGAGTTGGTGACTTGTGACAGTTTTGTCACTGCGCTGACAGAGCGAGAGGCCTGTCCCTGACAACTGCAGTGACACCTTGGCACAAGCCTGTTGTGTCCTCCTTCTCCCAGGCTGGAAAAACTGAATCTCCTGTCTCTGGGGCCAGGAACTTTGAGGCAGACCCACTGCAGATCAGTTATTTCACAGCTGAAATCTCCCTTTGTGTTTAAACAAAATAAAAAACCTTGGATTTCTGTTCATGAGCTGTCAGAAAAGGTCATGCCTGGGAGCACCTGTCACAGATCCTATTCCAGCATCCCTCAGCCTCCTCAAAACATGTCTGAGGCTTCCTGGCTGCTTTTGACCAAAGGGAGTGTGAAATCAGACATTTTCCAGGTTTTATGAGGAGTGGTGACCAGGTAGAGGAAATTCCAGTCAGCTCATTGGGATGCACAGGAAACATGGTACCAAGTCCACACTTGGGCAAACTGTCTGGGAGCAGGCAGAGATGAGAGAGAAAAACGTCATTTTATCTAACAGCCATCTGGAAATAAAGCCTTTGATGGCCTTTCTTTGTTCTGGATTCTGTCCTTTCTGCTCCTAAGAGGTACAAGGAATTGGGTTATTTTCACTTGTGCAGGTGGAAGAGTGCTCTTCATACAAACATTAATACATATCATGTTTCTTTTAATTTTAACACAAGCTTAACACCTCACCCTTACTCAATAAACATTTTATTTTCTTCTCATCTGTCAGGGAGAAGCAGAGATTCTCCTACAAACTCCAAACCCACTCTAGGCTCTATCCAGAAGCCCTTTGTTCTTTTGATTGTCTGTGCCCCAGTAGCAGAAAGCATCCTATGACAGCCTTCCTTTGGGATCAAATATTGAGGATTTAGTGAAGCTCCAAGGAAGCCATGTGGAGAGGGGATACACAGGAGAAAATTGACCATTTGTGGCCACAGAGGATGGAAAAATCAGGGAAGAGACAGGCAAAACCCCAACTCCTGCACACAGTGACTGTGCCCCTGGATTTTCTGCTCACTTCTGGATAAGCACGGCCAATATGAACTTGGGGTGCTACCAGCAGTGAAGGTTTTCAGTATTTAGCAGCCCATTTACAGGAGAAGCACAAAGACCAACACCTTCAGCAACAGCTGCTGATTTCTGCTCTTTCTCACTGAATAAATCCAACACCTGTTTTTCCAGGCAGAAGAGCCTGAACAGAACCACTTTTACCACTCTGGCTCCTGAACTGCTGCCCAGTGATCAGCCAGTTTGCAAAACCCTCCTGTAAGTGCTTCACAGCAGCTCAGAAAGGCCCCACAGGGCTGTTTCCATTCCAAAGCTCAGAACTGCTCTTTTCCCAACACCCAGCCTGAAGTGTAAGGTGTATTTTCAGCTGTCAAACACATTCATGACAGGTTTGGTGCCAAGACTGAGGCAAGCACCAAAAAAAGATTTCAACCTTCCACTAGACCAGGCTGCTCCAAGCCCCATCCTTGTAGTTTTTGTCCTGAGTTTTTATCTTTGCTATGCAGTGACCTGGCAAACAAAGTCAGCAGTCTGTGGCAATCTTGTTCAAAAAGTACATATATTTAATAATGATACCAAATACAGCTTTTCCCCCCTGGAATTTCCACTGTGATATTCAGTAGGTCCCCTCTGTGGTCACTGCAGTTGGACTGTACATAGCTACTGACTATGCTGAATACATGGTTATGTTTTAGCAGTGTAGTACTCATATATTCTCTATAAATATAATAAAATACTTAACATTTGTTTTCATTCTGATTCTTACACATATTTCCTATGTTTCCACAAATGAAAAAAAAAAAAACCAAAAACCAAAACCAAAACAAAACATGTCTCTTTCCTGCCTCCCCCAACCTTTTATTGGGTTCCAAATAAACCTGAGTTTGCAATTCAAGTTGGCATCTGCCATCTGCTCGGGTATGTGAGTCTGATGAACACAAAGGGGGGGGGGGATTTCAGTGATCCCTGATTTCAGTGATCCTTGATTTCAGTGGTCCCTGATTTCAGTGGTCCCTGATTTCAGTGATCCCTGATTTCAGTGGTCCCTGCCCACTGGCTTGGCAGCACAAATGTGTTAGCATGAAGAGAATGAAAATGCTCTGACATTTATAAAAGAACAAATTAAAATGGCCCCTTGGAATGAATAGGTGCTCTCCACAAACAGAATGCAACACTTCTTGATCTGAAAATTGATCAAATTATTCCAGGGCTGTCTTTTCTCATCATATTGGGGTTTTCATGCGTATTATTTTACACAGCTCCCTCAGAGGTGGGAGTCCTCACTCCACTGAAGGGTCCAAGATGCTGATGGACTCTCCAGGGCTAAACCCCAGTGCTGGGGGAAGGTCCCACCTGCAGGGATGAGATGGGTGCTCTGGGCACCACTCTGCTGGTTTTGCCAGCACTGAACAGCCCAGTTATCTGTCAGTATTTGGATTAATGTCCATTTTTTCCTGCAGATTTTGGTGTCAGGCCTGTACAAAGGCTCAGCTATGCCCCTCCTCACCCAGGCTCTGAATATCCTGCTCGTGGAACTGGAAGGAAAACTTTCCAAACAGGGGTAACCCTCAGCATCTACACGGACACCAATGGGGCAATGAAATTGTTTGTAAAATTATGGATGAAAATAGGGCCTGGATTCCCACCAGTGGCAAAATCCCATCTTCCAAGGACAAGAAGTCACCACCTCTGCTTCCTGGGTTTTGAAATGCCATTCAATGGTGGCAGCAGAACCAGGCTGGAACAAGCTTTGCTGAGATGCTCTCAACACACAAACACGTACACGGGGGGGCACAGACCAGAGAAAAGAGCAGTCTTTGTCTTTGGCTAAACCTTCTAATTTATAGGAAATGCTTTGAGGACAGAAACAGAACCAAAAAAATGTTGCCAACCTGTCAGATGTATCATTTACTTAGAAAAACAAGACTGGTATACAGAACATGGTGTCTTTTAAGAAAGTCAATCTCCACTCCTTGTAACAATACCCCGTTTTTGGTAACCACTACATTACCAATCTTGGAGTATAAAAGGACTTGGTACAGTTCATGTGTCCTTTATTAGTCTTTTTAATTCAGTCTCAGAGAAGCCTTCAGGCATGTCCAATGCTGCCTTGGTGTAACAGGGACCAATGCAGTGAATTTCCACATGATGACACTTGTTTTTAAATAATCATGTTTCTTGTGACATCATTAAATCACAGTTTTCTTCATGAGAAAAAAAATGATTGTGTTATTACCTACTTTATGTAATTAACAGTAAAATCTGCTTTGAATTCCAATAGTGCCACTTTTTCTGAGCTAGACCACTCGTGTCTTTACTCAAGCTTCTACCACCTTCATCTTCTCGGCAGGGCTTGTCAGCAAGCTCACTTTGGACAGAGTACTGGCATTTCCCCCTCTCCTGCCCCAGGAACAACGCCTGCAGCAGCAGCACGGGCTGTGTGGCACAGGCAGGTGGAGCAGGGACAGTCTGAGCACAGATCCTGGCACGGCACTGATTCCCTGCAGGAACCAAACCCTCGGTGCTCGTGGTTCTCCCACCCGGGTGAGAGCAGTGAAAATACAGATCCACGCAGCTCTTGCAGGGTGTTTTAGTGTACAGTCAGATGCCAAATGTGAATATTTCTTAACAGCACAAGCAGAGCCCTTTTCTTTCAACTGTAATACGTAGGACAGTGCCTTCCTTGCAAGCAAACCTCCGATTTCCTGCGCTGCACCACCGCGGGGTATCACGTGGTGACAGCAACGCGCCAGTGGCTTTCCCTTCTTGCTTAAAGGAGAAAAAGGTTAGATCCCAGAGAAGAGCAGTGCAAATCCCAGGATGCCAGGCTAACACTGGCCGCTGACAGCCTCTGTGTTGAAGGAAATCTGTGTGGGGCTCATCTGCTGCAGCTGAGGCATCCTGGCTTCCAGGGGTTTTTCACTCACTGACTGCATGCTCTGGTTCCTCTTCCTCAGCATCTGTCCGATCCCCATCATGGGGAACCTGCCCCTGCTTTTCACACAGTTTGGGCTGCCCAGGGGGTTGCTGGGGACCAGCTGGGTAGGGGACACTGCCTCTTCCTTTGCTGGATACGCTTTCTCTTCATAGGTGAAAGAGACCTGGGTGGGGTGGACGGGGGACGTGCTCCCCGGGGGGAAGAGTGGCGACAGTGTCCTTTCACTGGAGCTTTTGTAAGGGAAATTCATTGGAGAGCCTAAAATTCTGTACTGGTGAGAGGGGGAAACCTGGTCTATTTGGTCCTCTCTGTCAACTGACTCGAAGGAGTGCACGATGTTGAGGATGAGAGGGGAGTCCTTGGCCCGGCCCCCGATCCGGGACGGCTCCGGCTGCGGAGACTCCTGCCTCTTGAGGAGCCGGGGTGTCCTGGGGGGAGGCTGCTGCACCTCCAGGTATTCCAGGGAGCTGGAGGTGACACAGCCCGTCTTGGGTGCCAGGGGCTCGTGCAAAGGGCTCACGCTGGAGTCTGCAAAGCAATGGGAGAAGGAAGCAGAAGAGCACACTGCAGTTACCAGCACCTCAAACACAGGAACCTGGTGGTGCACCAGCTGCCAGAAACTGTCTGGGATGCACTCACACCCCAATTCCCTCACCCTCACTTAATACTAACACCATTGTTTCCCAGGTAATTTATCTGCCCTCTTCCTCACAGGCAGGAAAAGTGCTTACACTGAGACAGGGACTTGAAAAGGAAAAGCACAGTTGTCTCCAGCTGTTTGTATTAATTATATCCACAACACCACAAACACACTGAGAAATCTCACATTTCTCCTTTCTCAGCACCACATTGTGTGGCTCTTGCTGGACCTGTATTCCCCTGACACACCTAGGGGAGCACAGTGAGTTAATCCCTGATGGCTCTCCTTGCATTTTGGAACAAAATCTGTTCCTGGTTTCACACATGTAAATATGGAGCAGCAGCACTGGCCAGATTCAAGCTGCTATAGTTTGGACAGATTTACTGCATCAACTTCAGCAGGAACCTTCCTCCAGCAAGGGCTGAAAATAAATGGAACAAAATCTTTGCAGGATTTGGCCCAGTTGAACAAAACAGCTCGTGGAGAAGATCTGCTCAGCTCCTACAGAACGCTGGCACTGCCTCATGCCAAGCTAATCACAAGCAAGCATGTTTTGCTGCCTTGATGGAAAGCTGTCCAAGGAACCTGACTGCCAGGCCCCCCTAATTGAATTAACTGGTAGCTATTCCATCAGTTCCCTGGGTCTCAAATAATATAAAAAGGATCTGAAATAATTTAGCTCTGCCAGCACTCAGGTCCCAGCCACAAATCTCACGTGTATTTCTTGTGGAGGGATGGTCTTGTCAGGGGTTGAGACCTGAATGGATGAACAGGATGAAATCTTACACTTGTCTGGGTAAAGTAGAAAGAAGTTAATTCTGACCACTCTTTTTCTAAAAATGGCAAAAATTATTTAAGATGTGTCAAAATATAGTCTCCATAAGCAGAGAAATGCTTTAGCTGAGAGCTGCATGATTGTCAGAACAAAAAAGCAGGGAGAAACATAAAGAGGGAAAAAATGAACTAGATTTTCTTCCCCCTGTGCCTTCTTCCCAAAAGGAACAGCAAATATGAGCAAAATGGGCATTTAAATTTTTTTTACATTTTTTAAAGGAACTATGCCCCATTCCTGACCAGCTCTCTAAACTCCTGTCACCTTGCAGCAGAGGTTCCTGTGCTGCCAGACAAACACGACTTGGACAATTTTTTCTCACTGTGAGCAAGACAAATGATAAATCATCAAGTCACGACAATGAGCATGAAAGCATCACAAGCCACCACTCTGAATAACCCCGTGACACAACAGTAAATGTTTTCCACCACTGGATCTCCCCTCATTTAGTTCCCTGTCTAACAGAGGCTACATCACCTTGCTGCTCCTCAGTGTGCCCCATGCAGGTGTGCACTTCCCACACCCCATTTTCCCTGCTGACTCCCCTTTTCCTCCACTCCTTTCTCTGCCAGCAGTTTTCAGCCAGCCCTCTCAGGCTGCCCTTTGTGATTAATGCTCTGCTCTCCTCTGGCTGTCACATCTTTTCCTTTCCCTGCTCATTATTTCCCCCCTCCTTTTGCTGATGCTGAGGCTGGCAGTCCCACCTGCCTTTCCTTGAGGCTGCCCCTTTCCCATTCCTCCCAGGGACTCCTCAGGGAGGTCAGGGATTCTCCTTAGCCCCCTCTCAGGAAAACACAGTGGCTGCTAGGAAGGAGCTTGGCTACCAGCTCTGGTTCCTCAGTGATCCAGGGTGGGTGGTGATGCTTTCAAAACAGCAGCGTGAGCGTGGATGATTTTGTGTGAGGACGTGTAAACAGGGGAAGAAACTGCCTTTTTGGAGCACTGCAGGAATTCTGTCAAACACAGAGAGGGAGGGCTCCTGGCTGCGGAGCACCACCATGGATTCCTCAGGGCATTTCACTCCACGTGTGCTGACATTATCCAGGCTCCTTTCCCACACCACCCCCGGAGCGACAGGGAAGGCAAACCCAGAGTTTTTACTCACAAACGCACACCAAACAGGACAGGACAGGCTCAAAACCACCACACCACACAGGACAGGACAGGCTCAAAACCACCACAGCCCACATGCACACACACAGACCAGACCCACCATGGTGTTTGTCTTTCTCCCACTGACCTTTGTCGGGACCCCCGGCCTTGGCGACTTTCCGGTCCTTCAGCAGAGCCTTGGTGTTCTGGATCTGTGAGATAAGACAGGAAGAAGGCTGTCTATATGAAACTGGACTTTTCTCAGTTTTCTTTGGGAGCTGACGGTGAAGGATCTCCCCTTTCTTTTCTTGCTCTTTGAGTTTTTTGTCCTTTAAGGTTGTAAAACAAACAAGAACAATCTGGTTTACTCAAGGGAAGTTGCAGTGACCCACAGACCTATAAGGTGGATTAATCACCATGTATTTACAAGGAACTTTTCTCAGAGTAACTAAACCCTCCATGTCTCATTTTCCTCTGATCAGTTTGCCATGATTTCATGGCTCCCATCTGCTCTGACATTCAGGCAGTGTGGAAGCTGGTTTTGGAAAATTAAAGGAAAAGAAAAGCTTTTCTCTTGGAAAAAGCAGATGAAGGTTTGTGCTCCTCCATACCTGAAATACCCTACTTAAGCACCAAAAAAACCCTTTGATTTCTCTTTACTCCACTCCCTCTGAGATTTAAAAAGGTGAGCTGCAAAGTTTTAAAGAAGTTTAAAGCCTTTGAGTCATTTCTCTTCTGTCCAGACAAGATCTGGAGGAACACAGCCCTTGCTTTTACAGCATCTCTGCAACTGTGCAAGACATGGAGGGGGAGGAAATTATTGAGCCATCCCTTCCCTGAGCCCTAACTCCTGGCTGTGATGGGGAAGGCAGCTGAAGGTGGGATTGCAAGAAGAAGATAGGTTTGATCTCCAGTGATGACAGAGGAAAAACAGACCCTGGGAGCAGGACTCTGAAGAGGAAGCCAGTTTTCAAAGCACTTTTCTACAGTGAAAATTCATTGCATCTTCTTTCAGTCACTGGATTCAGCGAACTGCTTAACACCCTTTACCTGCCACTGATTTCTAGGGGAGCCTAAAGCCTTATTTCTCATTAAAAAAGATGTTTTGGTTGGCTTGGGGTTGCTTTTGTGGTCACAGTTCTCATTTAGGCAACATGTTTTGCTGCATCTGATTAAAAGGTCACTGCAAGTACAAGTCTTTTTAAAAAGTGAAGGAAAGTTCTTTCCCCCAATTATGTGCCTGTTTTGTCTGGTAATTATGCACTGCCACTCTTGATTTTCTTTTGCAAGCTCACTGACGTGGAGTCCATGAAAACCCTCAAAGTAAAGTGTATAAAAACACGTGAGAGGGGAAAAGAAAGATGCAGAAAACAACTTGGATTCTCCTGTACCACTACACAGCTCTGGAAGCAAGACAGACACAAAGAGGAAAAAATCTGGTCTCATTGTGAACATTCCCAGCTCAGATGGAGCCTGGCTCCCTTTACAGACCATGTCTGGGCACTGCTGGACTCACCAACCTTTCAGGAGTTGCAGAGTTGAAAAGAAGACCTTCAGTGACTCATAAACCGAAGTTTTTACTTTTAATACCAACAGGGTTGACCTGGGAGAAGAAGAACCTGAGATTCTCCTCACTGGAGGAGCCTCCCTTCATGCATATGGTTTTTGCCCCCATCCATCCTTTATTCCCCGCAATTCCTCTCCCTCTGGCTAGCTGCAGCTGGCTGACCCTTCCACAGCCACAAAGGAGTCCCTGGTGGAGCTGTACACCCCTGGCCACCTTTGGAGGTGCCTGTCCATGCCGTGCTTGGAGCCACAGTGTGGATCAGGCACTGGTGAGGGTGAACAGGTAACCACAGCAAAACCAGCAGCAGCAAGAACACCGCTAACAACGCTGTGGGAGTGTCACCCGCCTCAGCAGTCAGGGGAAGGTGTGCAGCTGATTCTGAGCCCACCACACTGCTTCTCCTCCCACGGCTCGGAAACTCTGCTGTTGAGCCTTCAGCAGAGACCAGCCTCTCCCAGGGATCTTTTCATGCAGGTGCTGGTGAGGATGAGACTAAGTGGTGACTGTATGAAGGCCTCAGGAGCCAATCCAGACTGCTAGGAGCTATCAGCTCTCTTGGGAAGGTGGGGAGGGATCAGTGTGCTGGCTGCTGCAGCCTCTGTCTGCGTGGAGGACGTTGTTCCAGGGCTGCAGGATTTTTAGCCTGATGGTGCACGAGCCAAGCTGCAGCTCCTCACCTGCCAAGTGCTCCTGCCTTTGCCCTCACCCTGCTGGCACATTCTCTCAGCCACAGCAACACAGCCACTCCACACAATTAAAGCACCCCTGGCAAAGGAAACTCACATATCCGGGGCTGCCAATTAATTACTTCACGCTGGATGAGCACTGCAAATGGTCTTAGGAGTATTTCTGAAAGTGCTAACGTTGCTCCTTAATGACCACGCTTGTGAGAGGCTCAGGACCTGAACTCCCAAGGTGCCACGCACTTGTATTTGAAAAGGGAAGGAAGATTTCATTCAGGGGAGTTACAGAAGTTCCCCCTGCACTGCAGAGTGCAGGCTGTGTCCCATAATGCAGGAGCTGCACCGGTATGCTGTACTTGAATAGGTTGGGAATTACATCATCCTCTGCTATTTCCTGTCCTGACCTTGACCCTCAAACCTACTCCTAGTCCCAGCAAGGGATTTGAAAGGCAGATAAAGGGTATTTGCCTTGGCCATGTCTGACACCGTGATAGGACAAGGACGCCAGTTGTTAAAAATTGCAAATTCCACCCCTGAGCCTTCTGAGCTCCCCTGGAGGGACAGCCATTCATCCTGAGCCCCCTTCCACAAAGAAAGAGATGGAGAGAGCACAGACTCCTGCCTGCCTGCCTCTGCCCAGCCTGGGTACCTCACACCCACAGCAGACCTGCTGGAGAAGAGGGGCAGGACACGAGGGGCACTGCCCTGTGCCCCTGCCTGCCCCAGCTGCTGGCAGCCCCTCCTGCCCCAGTCCTTATTTCCCATGGCTGGAGGGAGGTGGGAGAAATTCTGCTGAAGCTGGAGCTGACCATCCCTCCCCCTCCTATTCCCATGGCAACCTGCAGCTCTGCTCCCTAGGGACCAGTGGCTCCCAATTCCTGTCTGAGTAGAGCTCAAGTGACAGAAAACCAGGTTGTGGAACCAGGGAATGGGGTGAAAGGGACCTCAGAGCCCATCTCCACCCCCTGCCATGGGCAGGGACACTCTCTCCTAGCCCAAGCTGGCCTGCACTTCCACACTGTGTGCCCATGCAGCAGGAGAACAGGCTGTTATCATCATTATTGTTATTATTATTGCAGTGTCTGCACAATGAGTGCATCCTGGTAAGTATTACAAGAAAGACATGACACCCCCTCATCCCCTACATAGCTCCCCTGGGACTAATTCTGAGTCCAGGAGAGGCTTTGGAGGGAGCTCCCCTTCCTAAGCAAGCCTACAAACCACACTGGGGCCACAGCCTGGCACTGCTGTCAGCTCCCAGTTTTCCTCAGGGAAGTGAACTTTCCAGGCAGGCCTCGCTCAGCCCCCCCTGCACAAGAAGGGAGCAGAAGCTGTGAGCTGATCCCTGGAGAATGCAGAATCCCAGAGCACAGTGGCTCTGTCACTGCCCAGGGAAGTGACACCAGCAGCAGGACAAACAGAACCAGGATGATCCATGCAGGATCTGAAGCCTTCAGCTCCCAGTACCTACCCCTGTTTCCAGGGAACAGCTTGAGGAAGTTGTGAGAGCTTTGTGAAATGTCATATTCATCGAGTCTACCCACTGCTGCTCCATTCCAAGCAAGAAGGTTTTGATTTATTCAAGAAAAGAATAAGTACTTTGCCCTGATATTTCCATCTGGCTTGCAGTTCAGCTTGTCTTGCAAGCAGCCTTTATAATAAACAAAACCAGCCACGACACAAATCTGCCCCTGCAATTAGATAATCAATCCAGTGCTGAGGAGCAGCTTTTGGAACAGGCAGCCTCACCAAGAATGCTGCTCTTTGTGTTGGCAGGGAAGACTTGCACAGCTCACATTACTCCTGTAATTTTAGTGCTTGGCAAAGCATCAGCCAGGGAAGAAAAATCCAGCCAGGATTTAATACAAAATACCTTCTCTGCTTGCAGGCAAGAAGACTGGAAACCAACAGAGCAAAAGGTTAAATCTTTTGTCTGCCCAGGGGAATTCCTTCATGATGCAGAGGCTGATCCCACATCCCCTCTGCTAAGGAGCAGAGAAAATGGACTTTGAAGAGTGTTGTGCTAATCCAGCTTCACTGCTCCTGGCAGCCAAGGCAGGGTTGGCCCAGGACACCGGGAGGGTCACCCTGGCTGTCACTCAGCTCTCTGTCCTGCAGCACCAAGGGCTCAGAGCCTCTAGAACACCCAGTTTTCATCATTTTGATGAAAAACAAAATGATGAAAACTGGGTAACACCAGCAGCTTGCACCCCAGAACGAAACTATGGAACCCCCTGTGTTTGCATCATTTTGCTAAACAGAGATTTAAAAACATTTAATTTATTTAAAAACCCTGGAAATCACCTTTCTATCTCCTCTCTTGGGGGTTACTATTTTTTTCTTTGCAAAGAAATAAAGGGAGTTATTTGTCCTGCAGAGGCAAGACCACAGGTGTTTCTTTTCTCCACAGGCCCACAAAGCCATCACTTTAATCACAATCACCAAGGATGCTCAAATTCAATCTGCTTTCAAAGCACTGCAACAAGCTTTGCTGAGCTTTACCTCATAGGAGTCTTTATTGGCCTTGTATTTTTCTATCTGGTAGAGCTGGTTCTTGTGGCAAACACTGTCCTGGCCTTCAGCCTTCTGCAGAGAGAAAAGCACAGAAAAGTAAAATGTGTAAGATAATTAGAGAACACTAAGGTTTAATTACTGCTTAATGGACTGCACCCACTCTTGGCATAGAGTGGAGGAGCATCGTCTCCCAGACATGATGGATTTGGTCCATTACGTTTTAGATATCATTGTGGCATCACCACTAATGTGAAAAGGACTGAGAAAATAAAAAAAACTAAGATGCTGTTATCAGATTGGAAGGCTGTGCTCAGGGGCCAGGGAGATTACATCAGGTAAAACTTTCAGCTGAGTTTTCACTTCAAACCTAAATAAGTTTAAGAGCTCTTAAGCTTCTTCTTGATGTCCTGACTCAATAAATTGTGTTACTGGCATTCCAAGCAGCAGAACTAACCCAACACAGGGGCACAGCACTTCCCAATGGACGGTCCTTGGGATATTCCACAATCCTGTGAGACCAAATGCCACCAAGCCAGGCCACTTGCAGCCTTTTTGTCCCCTCCTCCCCCAGCAGTGGCAGGAGGCAGCTGGCTCACCCTGAGGCTGGCCAGGTAGCGCTCCAGCTTCTTGTTGAGCAGGAAGTAGATGGCCAGGGTGTGGCTGGCCCTGTTGGACAGCACGGTGTTGATCACATCGGTGTTCTTGTAGCCCAGCTTCTCAGTCATGTGCAGCAGCACGCTCTGGCTGAGGTCCTCCAGGTGAATCCTGCACAGGGGAGAGGCAGAGCAGGATTTTTGGGCTGTCCTCTCCGTGGCAGAACACCCGAGAGGAGGCCCCAAGGGCTCAGTAATTGGGGGTGAGTAGTTCCCTTCTCCCAGGAGCAGGCAGCTGTTGGAACCCTGGTTACTGAGAATTTGAGACTTTCTGTGCTGACAGGCTCTGACCCCCAAGAGAACACTGCATTTGACCTGAAGGCAAATGTTTTGACCCAGGAAAACCAGGCAGGGAAAGGACAGATATCTGGGAGCACAGGAGCTGCATGAGGCTGAATGATCAGGACTCTGACTACCCTGTCCATCCCTGATGGGAAATGGCACCATGATGATACTCAGGCCATTTGTTCCCCTACACCTGAGCACTGAAAATCATGAAGATGAGCTGGTTTTGAAGGAAAAGAGGCAAAAATCCAGCTCAGATCTGGCTCTCTGAAAAGCCCTTTTCTCATAATCAAACAGCACTGCTCTGAGCTTCACCCCCTTACCTGCTGCACAGTGTCCATGCCCTAATTAGCCAGGGAATTTCCTGCTGGAGAAAGGGGATGCACGGGATTATTCCTGCAGCTCAGAATGGCAACGCTGCAGTTTCCCTGCTGTCACAAGCACCAGCCATGTTTACGTCTCTCTCTTCTATAAAGTCTGGAACAGCCTCAGCCAAGGCGAGAAAAGCAGAACAGAGGTCTTGTGGAAATGCCAAAGCATTGGCTCAGCTTGAGTTAAAACCAGATTTTTCCAAAGAACTCTGCTCCTATTTAGACTTCTAAATGGGCTGGCCAGCTTCCCAGAGGTACCCATCAGCTCCCAGCCATCTCCAGAGAAATGCTGGGTCCCAGCTGTTTCTAGAGGATATTCCTCACTCCTAATACTAAGCCTAATATCAGAGGGAGCTTATTTTGCAGGATTCCCCCTCTCAAGGGATCCCTCCCCACCTTTCCCACTCCTGCCCGGGCTCTGATGGACAGGACTCAGACTCCCAAACACAGTCTGGGAAATCTCAAATAACTCATTCCCTTTGTTCCCTGTGCCTATGAACACTCCTTCTGCCTGGGGTTGGGTCTTTTTTTCACAAGTTCAAAAGCAAAACTTATCTTGGCCACTGCACGTTGAGGCATCTGGGCAGCAAAAGAAATTCAAGCAATTTTGACTTGAAGTGCTCAGCAAAATGGGAAATTTTTGCTTGCCTTCAGGGAATTTCTTCAACAAAAGCAAGCCTATTAAAAGCCTGGGAAAATATTCTCCTGAAAATGCAGCTTCTGCTGTTCTCCCACCTTATCTCCACTCTTTTCCCTTCCTGCCACGCTCCTGTCTTGAGAACAATGGGTGTTACCCCCAGAGGAGTGGAAGGGCACTGCAAGAACATCACACAACTCCTTAAGTGCTGATTAAGAGAGGAATTAATCCTTTGCAAATTCAGCAGTGGGTTTTTCACACACCATTTCACCACACCTTATCCATATCTGCACACTAAGGAAAAATTGGAGAAATTCCATGGAAGCTGACTCCAGTGGTACTTTCTGAGACAAGCTCAAAAGCAGCCAAGACACTTCTTTAAATATTTAAAACTTTGCAGATTATTCCCCTATAAAGCTTCAGTATGACAAAATCTAGGTAAATCACGCCTGGGATATCAACTAATGAAACAGATGTAACATTATTTTTTAAAAATGGAAGAAAGAATCCCATTAAAGGATTTTATCCTATACAGCTTCACCTGTCCCCTAAATTTGGAAGAGTGATATCAAGAGAATGGCTCTGCCTGTTCTCATCCCCTGGGAAACAATTAATCACAGGGTCCACCTTTACACCCTATTAGGGAATGGTGAGCTCTCTGCACAGAGCAGGGAGACAAAACAATTCCTGCTCTAGCTGGGGACCAAGGACAAATGATCCAAATCTCAGGCCCAAGAGCACAAACAGCGTGGGCTGGAGAGAGAAAAACAAGAAGGATGGAATGTCATGGGCTGGAGATGTAACTGGACAATTAACTCCAATATGCAAATGGAGCAGAACTGATCAAAGTGAGAGACATTCCGTGACCAGTCATCCATTTTTGTGACCATTTTGGGTTTTTCTTGGGTGTAGCCCTGGCTGGGCTCTTGTGCTGCCCAAGGTGGACTCCTAATAAATCCCTACTTTATTCTTTAACTCCATCCAGCCTCTGCTCTAGCTCAGCCTTCCCAAGGCATCAATCAGAACTGCCAGTCACACCTCCCCATTCCCAGGCCTGCAGCAAATTAATCAGAATATCTGCAGCCAGCCCACCCTGCAAACAATGCACTGCAACTGCAGCCTCCACTTCAAGGTATTGCTCTTGGCCATTTCAAGCAGCCCAGGGCCCATCTCCATAACCTTCAGGATGGATTCACAATTCCAGGATGCGTGACACGAGTGGAACTGGCACAGCAGGGCCATGCTGGCAGGTTTTCTCCTCCCCTCCCCTCTCTGCTGTACCTGTTTGGGTAGGTGACGTTGGGTGGTGCTCTTCCAGGGTAGTTCTCATTGAGCCATCTGTTTGCCAGGGCCTGCTGGATGTTTGGTCTCTTGGCAGGGTCTGGCTCCAGGAGAGAGCGCAGGAAGTTTATGGCAGCTGTGAAGAGATCGAGGGAAAACCCCAAAAAACAGCTCTGTCATCTGCTCTAGGACTGGCACAGGAGACGAGTTAATGCAGGTGTGCAGCCTGAGCTGGAGCACACTGAAAAGGAACATTTTCCTTACTGCACGCTCCCATGTCCTTGAGAAAATGGAAGAACTGATAAGGGATTAGTAATTGAAACAAACAATGATTTACAGTCACAATGATTTATATACATTATTTAATGTATTTATTTTATATACAAAGGACAGCAGAAAAAGCACTTTTTGGCTCAGAGCTCATTTGAAGTTTTGGAGCAGGTGAGCCAACATTTAATTCATTTAATTCCCACCTGAGGGCAAGAGGCTGGAGCCAGGTCAGAGACAAATCTCTGGATCAAAGCAGAAGGAGATGGACCAGGGGTGAGTGGAGGGGAGGGAAGGGATGCAGACCTGGGAAGGAAGACACAGCAAATTTGGCTCCCTTTGACATGATAAGGATAAATTTTCTGGCTCCCATCCAACATACAATCAGCTGCAGAAGATTTTAGCCAAATTAAAAGAGTTCAGCAAAATTAACAAGCTTTGCTTTGTTCTCCTGAACCTTCAACTTCCAAGGACATTCAACCACTCCTCCTGAGTTTCCTGCAAAAATGCTCAAATTTTAAGCCATGTGCTTCTTACATGATTAGGAGCAATGAAGTCAAGTGATCTGCCTGGAGCCTCACAAGAAGTGCTCCTCTGAGCTGAAAATAAACTCTGTTCAACTAGGTCTGCTCCTCCTTTATTCCTCAAGTTATCAAGGCTACATTTCACTGCTCCTAGGTGCAATTTAAGCAGAATAAAACTCCTGCTGGTGACACCACAGCGGGATGGGACAGGATGGGGAGGGTGGAGGATGAGGAAGGGAGGGTTTTTCCCTAAATAAATCAGGGTTAGACCCAACAGGTGCTGACTCCCACCAACCTGAGCAACCTCAATGTACAATATGCTGCGAAAATCAGGTTTCAGCTGGAGAAACTCTGTGTCAAGAAGCTTAGATGTGCAAGAGAGGCTTCTGACTCTGTATTTACCAGTTCAGCTGGCTTTTTTCTAATCTCCCTCTTCACAAACCACTGATTTAAGGGAGATGCTTTACTTAAATACTCTCCAGCATTTCTGTTATTACCCTGCAGCAGCCATGTGGCAGGAGCAGCAGGAAGAGCCTACATCCAAGTTCCCAAACTTGCTGGAAGCTGCTCTCTGTGTGCCTGGTGTGCCCTTTCTCCACCCCCATCCCAGCAAACAACAAATCCTTGTTCTCCCATTGAATCCCCTCTTGCTCCAGTGTCTGTGTTAGAAACCTCACACTGGTTTCCAATCCCATAAACCAGAAAAATCCCTCTCCCCAAACCCACACTCCCTCCTTCATCACCACCATGCCTGGTCTCCAAATCACCCAAATTCTCCTTAAAAAACCTACTTCTCCACCCCCACCCTTGCCAAAAGGCAAGCTAATTAAATGAAGCTCGTGAAGTGCCACAGATCAGCAGATTCAGGCTGGGAGAAACTCATTGTGGGGGGAAGGTTCCCTCCTGGAAGCTCCCAGAGCTGGGCAGCAGAGAGGAGCAGCAGCACCTTGGGATGGCACAAGGAGCTTTTCCAGCTAAGCCACACAGCTGGGACAGCATAACGATTTCCCCAGGGAGAAAACATGAAGGAAAATGAATATATGCAAGGTGAACACCAACTGCCTGAGCACCTGACCTCTGCTCAGCTAAAATCAATAACCAGAGAGCTGCTGTTCAAGAGGCTTAATGAGAAATAGGTTCCCAAGTGGGAAAATCAAACACCAGCTCCAAAATTTCCCTGTTTTGCTACACAGGTTGTTCTGGGTGCTCGTGGTCAGCCAGGATTGTGGGTCACACCAGTGAAAGGGTTTTCCTGCTCAGAGATAAGAATCCATGGTGGGGCTGTGTGTTCAGTAACCAGGAAATTAAATATTGAAAGACAAGGTCCTGGGCTGTGAAAATCCTCTACTTTATAGATGGATTTACAGAAATGAAGACCTGACTGAAATAAAAGGTCCATAAACCCAAGAAGTTAACAAGCACTACAATTCCCAGAGCAGAGTTCCTGCCCAGTGACCCAAAGGCTGACATGGCAGGAAGAAATGTCACCTTAAATCACTCTGTGGCATGTCCCTGGGCTCACAAGGCCCTGGGCTGGGGTCAGGGACTGATGGGTACCTTTTGGGCAAAGGTTAACATCTTTAAATCTAGTCCATTAATTTGCCACCATCTCTGCAAGTCCAGGCTGCTGGAGCTCTCACAGGATAAACAAAATCCTGCTTTCCCTGGGGATCACAGTGTCCAGGGAGCTGCAAATGCTGAAAATGGAGAAAATCTGCTCTCCACTGTTAAATGGGGGGATGGATGAAACAGCAAAACCAAGCCTGTTTAAAAGCAGTGTTATTTTTTTGGCTACTCAGGGTCTGGCCTTCTGCAGGGTGGGAGGTGGAACCCTAAATCTGTGCTTGGAGAATTCACCTTGACTCAACTCCCAAGGGTTTCCATTCCCTTTTTTTAATTTGGGATCTTTTCATTTTATCAAAAGCCCTTTGCTTTTGATAAAAAGGCTGCCAGGGAAGGAGACAGAAGCTCTCCACAGACAACAAATTTGGCATGAAAAATAAAACCCAGCTTGTTCCAAATGCTGACAGTGGCCTTGCTGCAAGCTGCAAAGCGATTCTGTTGCCTAGTGACGTGGCTCTGAAGCAGGAATTAATATTTCTAATACTAATACATAACTATTTTGCATTTTGTGAACACACAGAGGTTATCCCAGGTGGCTGTCCCAAAATAACTTTCTGAGTGCATGTCATTATTCCATAATAAATGTGAGGTCATTTGAGGCAGTTTGTCACTCAACCTCAGTCTTGATAATGCCCAGGAATCTGTATTTCCAAAATAATCTGTTCATCCATCCTTTCCTTATGCTAGAACCCTCTGGATGTGCAAAACTGACCAACTGCTCTGCAAAAGCAGTCCCGCAGAATTTCACAGATTTGCTCCTTCTCTCACATTCAGCACAACTTGGTGCTTCTCCAGGAGTCAAAGCAAAAGGAATTCTGCTACACCAACTCCTTGCAAGGCCTGTTACACCAAGGTCTTGCAGAGGCCAAAATGAAAAGGAAGGAGCTTTTCCCAATTAGCACAACACGTCAGCAGCATGAGTCAGGAGCCACAGTCCCATGGAACAGCGTTACCTGAGGAGAGCTGGGTGGGAAAGGGGTTCATCTCTTTGTCCACCATTTTTTGGTACAAGGCTCTCAAGCTGAATGGCTCCACAGTGAAGGGTAGTGTTCCAGTCAGCATGGCATACATGTTCACCCCACTGAAAGAAAACAGGCAGGAAAAGAAACCAAAACGATCAGGAACAAGGAAAAATTCCGTTTTTACAGCCTGCACTTCATCTTTAATGTCTGACAGTTACTACAGGGTTGATGCCCCATCTCTGAGAACATTTCAGGTCAGGCTGGACGGGGCCCTGAGCCACCTGATCCAGCTGGAGATGCCCCTGCTCTTTGCAATAACAATTATAAACTCGAGAAGGAACTCACATGGACCAAACGTCTATTTTGGGCCCGTACTTCTTCCTTGCCAGAAGTTCAGGGGCTGCATATGCTGGGCTCCCACACTGGGTGCTGAAGGGATCAGAATAACCCAAAATTCCTGCGCAGTTGCTCAATCCAAAGTCTGTGAAAGGCACAGAGACACAGTTATGAAAGAGAGACACAGTCAAACTGTGCTAGAACACAAGTTAAAATGAAAGAACTTTTTTTTCCAAAAGCTAAGCAATGAACTCCCTGAGGAGAAAAGAACAACTCATCCACATGCAAAAATTGGATGTAATTTGCTTCCACGAGGTGCTAAATAACCAGAGGTTCCCACAAACAATAAGAGGAGGCTTAGACATGCCCAATTTTCCATTTCATACCCAGAGCAGCTCCATTTCACTGGCAGCTGCATGGCAACAACCAGGGCTGAGCTGGTCCCAGGCCCTGAGCCACCTCAGGCTGCCACACTGCTGCAGGATGCTGGGCAGGGGACAAGGTTAAGGGGGATTTCTTCAAAATCTGAGTGGAAATCAGCCATCAGATGGAAAACTCTGGGGCTGCTGTGGTGAGGTACAAACACAGAGGGTTCAGCTCTGGAATAACACATGGAGAGCTCGGAGCAGGAAGGGGAAATGTCTTGACTTGGCTGCTCTCTCTCTGAATTCTGCCTTGAATTATTGTATTCCTGGGTGTATCCAGCACTCTTTTGTGGCAATAAAAAGAAAGGACTGGCTCAGGCTGGCACTGGAGACCAGAGGGAGTCTCTCAGCAGAGGGGCTGCACTTTCCCAAGGTCTCTCAGGCAGCCTAAGGGTGTTCCCAAAATTTCCCTCCTGTGTGCTCCAGTGCTGGTGTGGCTGCAGGCTCACATGGGTTCAGGTAACAACAAATCCCATTTATTAAGAGCTTGTGTGGCCCTCTCAAAGTCAGAATATTCTGTGAATCTCTGAAAACCACCACTGCTAAGAACACTGACACATGATTAGCTCCTCAATATCCTCTCTCAGGCATTAATTTGTGGCTCTTTTCCTCACCTGCACACTTATTTGCACTGGATTTGCAGTGCTGGCCTGTCCTTTTAGCTTTCACCATACTGAAAACCAAATTTGGCTGAAATCTGAGGAGTTCCTCAAGGGATTAGAGGCAGGGCAGACACATAAGCCTCATTCCCCCATAAAACCAGGCAGATACAAAAAATCCTACCAAAAAAAAAAAAAAAAGCAATTATCACAGTGACTGGAAGTGCCTAAATGGTGGCAAAAGTGCTTTACACTGCATCCCTGCATCTGGATCCCTGCATCCCTGAGGGCCAGGCAGGCTCAGGGGGACAGGAGTCCCGTATTTCACAGCTAAAGAGGGGTTTTCCTGGAGAACACTGTCAAAACTGAAGGGAGAGTTTGCCTCTGATGGAAAACAATTCTCTCTGGGCACTGCTTAATCATCCCTGGGGCTTCCACAAATACTGCAGAGGATCCATTACCTTAAATTAACATGTTCATTAGCTGTGGCCTGAGAGGAGTTCTGTCAGCTGTGAAATACTTTTCAAAACTCCTGGAAATAACATCTCCACACATTATTGCTCCTGGTCCTTAGCCTGCTGTGTCATGCCAGCCCCAAAAGACTCGATTGCACTGGGATACGAGGATACAAGGGCTGTGCTCTGAGCTGGTGTCAGTCAGCAGCATCAGTGGAGGGGTACTCCACCAGAGGTTTTCATTCTCTTATTTGCTTCACTTGTCAACCCCTTATTCACTTGCTTCAGCTCATTCATTTCAGCTGCTATGCCTTTTTTTTTTTCCCTGCTGAAATGCAGAATGTGTGCAAATGGAAGCATGCTGGGGACATAGCCATGGAGATGAGGATATTGCTATCAACATTGTGTCAGCACATGGTGATCACAGTGTGATTTTTGTTGTTTCTATTAAGGATGCACTGCTGGTCTCCATGAGAACACTGTGACCACCAGCACTGATAACCTCACTGCCACTGCCTGCCTCTGCCTTTCTAGGAGCCCAGCAAATGACAGAACTCAGATCAAAGGCCACACTTGGTTTTCCAAAGCAAATCCTTTCGCATGGGAGCTCCACCACCCCCACTGCTGTGCCATGAAGCATCGTGGCATTGCTCTGTTCCTCCTCAGCACCTCCAGGGATCCACACCAAGCTGTGGATGCAGGGCCATCCCTGCAGCTCTGCCAGCCAGCTCCTGGACCAGCAGAGCTCCACAGGGCTCAGCAGAGCTGGGTGTCCCAGCAGGAACTCTGCGTGGTCTGTGACATCAACCACGTGGGTTGGGACACAACAGGGAGTGAGTTCCTTCCAATCCTGATGTCCTTCAATCTGATTAACAGACTGCCAAAAGTCCTCTAAAAGGGAATTCTTCCAAGAAGAATATCTAAGAGCAGGCTCTAAACCACCTTGTCATGTAGGCAAAAGGAGGAAAGAATACAGGGTGCTCTGGGAGCAGCTGAGGGCTCAAGGCATCCAGCTCTCCCTGAAATGCATGAACAAGCAGTGACTTCAATATCCCATCTTCAACCTTCATTTCACCTGCTGGTCTTCCTTGCACAGCTCTTACAAGAACAACATTTTTATTTTCACTAGCTACTCCTGTGTCTGCTGCTGTAGAAATCCCAGGGACCAAGCTCATCCCACAGGAGGTAACGTGAGATGGATTTGTAGCTCAGCCTCTTCTCCCAGTCATGACAAGCAGCACTTTAATCCCTCCAAACATGTTCCTCACCCCTGAAGAACCTTCCTGGGAAGGACTATGTGATGTGATCATTTCTAGTGAGGCAGGCTGCACCAAATATTGCAACCTTTCTTTTGCTACAACACCCCCAGCTGGGTGGTGGGATTGAATTGCTTTGTTTGAGCTACACACTGCCTGCAATCTGCCTTGCCTGGGCATCAGGCTGCAGGGCTGAGGACAATTCACTGAGGCTGTGGAACAGCAAACCTCTCCTTCCTCTATCCTTCCCCCACCACCCACTGCGAGGAGACCCTTTCCTGCAGCCAAAGCAAACTGCAGGAACAGGCCTGGAATCATTTTCTTTGGCACCTGAGTTTTAACTGCACATGCATCATCTGGGAAGGGCTTGGTTTGGATGTCAAGCTCTAACCAGACACCCAGTGACAGGGAAGTGATGTGAGCTCCTTAAATCCATCAGATGTTGGTAGAGTTCCATCTGGTCTGGCTTATCTGCTAGATCAGGATAAGGGGTGCTATCCATCAGCCCTGGTGAATGATTCATGGCCACTTCTCGGTGTCCCCCTGACCCTCAGCTGAGGCAACACAGAGTTCTCTCTGCTCTTATCTTCCCAGAAGGTTGATTTGCTACACAGCAATCCCTGCAAGTCGGGGTGGCATTTCCAAACCTGAATTCCCAAAGTGAAACTTGGGTATTTCAGATTTCACTAATCATCCTCCCCCTGTTTGCTGGGAGGTGCTGCAGATGTCACAGTGAGGATCCATTTGACCTGGCTGTTTGAATGCCAAGTGCTTTCCTCACCACTTCTCAGCCCATGGAACTTTTTGAGGAGAGCCAGTTGAGTTTTTAAGCTTGCAGCCACAGACACTGCTGCTGGCAAGAGTGTAGGCACGGCAAGAAACACAAACAGATGTTTGGCACTTCTTTCATGAAAGGAATATTTTCTTTTCAATGCCCACATTAACATTAATGGGAGTTATGCAAGGCAGTGAGAGACTATCCCCAGCAATGATTAATCTGAAATGCCTGCACAGCTTGAATGAATCAAGCACCACAGACAACTGATACCTAAACACAATCCAGGCTCCACCGTTGATCTTTTTTATTCTTTAACAGCCCTCTAAACCAATTTTGTCCTGGGTGCTGGAAGCAAATTTAACAAATATAAATATAGGACCACATTTTGCCAGCTGCTAAAAATGTGTGCAACTCCCACTGACTTCAGTGGAAGCATATGTTCACGGGGGCAGAATCCAGCCCCTAGCAAATAAGAAATGATCATGATAATAAAATAAACCACTTCTCTGGTGTCAATTCTTAAATTCTTTACCGAGCTCCCAATTTGAGTATGAAAGATGTGGGTTTAAGATGTAGGATTATTCCCATACCAAGTTAAATCTGAATTATTTGGATCATTTTTTTTCACAAAATGCTGTCAGGAACAGCTTGATTGCTATCTATACTCTCTCAGCTCCTCTCTGCAGCAACATTAGCAGTTGTCACATGGGGGATTATGAAGCCTCAAAAACTCTCTTTATAAAACCAACAATTTTAATTACTGGAATTGCCAAACTGCTTCCATACCAATAAGCTTGATATTGTTGTCTTCATCTAGCAACAGATTTTCTATCTTCAAGTCTCTGAAAGAAAGAAAATATTTTGAGTCAGTCTCCAAAATAATGAAGCAGCTTTGCCTGACTCCCATCAGGGTATGAACAAGGCTTGTCTATAATCAAATGTACAATGAAAGCAGCACACACAGTTCCACCGTGAAAGCAGAAAGCCCCATGCATCCTGCCCAAAATTAACAGTGCTTTCACACTCTGCTTCCCACCTATTCTTCAGGCACAAAATGACATTACAAGCACTTGTCAGTACATCCTGTAATTAACCAGGCTCCTCAAGTTCCTTAAGCACTGGAAGTTTACAGAAAACTTACAAACTGGAAACATTTTAAGTACGTTTTGGGAACTGGAGGTCGATTTCTCCTTGCTCCTCTCCAGCTGAGGGATAAACCTGAGATTTGAGGAATCAAATGTCCTGTGTCCACAGGAGAGACCAAACCCAGCCTGCTGTGAGCACCAAAACTCCTTGCAGAGATCACCACAGCCATTCCCACACTCCACAGGTAAAATCCAAGGCTGAGGGATGGAAATGGTTTGTCCAATGCCACTCAGAAAATAACCCCAAAAGCTCAAGCTGTGCAGCCTGAGCATTAAGCACAATGTGAAAAACCTAATTTTGGTTGCTGCACAGCCCGTTGTGTAGCTCTAGCAGTTGGCTAAGTCTTCACCACACTGATTTTTTGCCCCCATCCAGACAGGAAATATTTGGAACAGTCAGCACGCTGGGATATCCACAGAGATGCTTCTCCCAGCAGAAAAAAAAAAAGGGAAAAATCTGGATAATAAAGCCATCAGCTCTAATAATGGGAAGTCAGTGACACCCATGGTGTTTTGCCTTTGTAAGTGATGAAAGACACCTCCATCACAGATGGAGATATCAGCCTTCATAAAACAAGACAAGGAGCCCAACCAAAACAAGCCAAGCACTTCCACAAGGAGGGATCTCCTGTGAAAGAAAGACTGGGAGCCTTTTCCAAAATGTTCCTCTTTGTTTCATTTTCTGCTCGTGCTGGGTTTCAAACAAACAGAGGCAGAGGAGTGGGCACATGACCCTCACTTGATCAGGACCTGCACAGGAGGGATTTTCTGCACTAAAGGCAGAAGGTGAGGGGGGTTCTGACCCAGCCCCAGGGGTCCAACAGCAGGAGGGCCTGGAGCTGCTGGATGTGGAGGGGGAATGGCTTCAAAGTGACAGAGAATAGGGTCAGATGGGACTTTGGGCAGGAATTGTTCCCTGGCAGGGTGGGCAGGCCCTGGCACAGGGTGCCCAGAGCAGCTGTGGCTGCCCCTGGATCCCTGGCAGTGCCCAAGGCCAGGCTGGACAGGGCTTGGAGGAACCTGGGACAGTGGAAGGTGTCCCTGCCATGGCAGGGGGGGCACTGGGTGGGATTTAAGGGTCCTCCCAACCCAAACCCCTCTGTGATTCCATTCCAACCCCTCTGTGATTCCATCCCCTCCTCTGGCAATGTCCCAGGGCTTCCTGCACATCCTCCACAAGGCACTTCCCTGGCAGGGCAACCAGGGCTGCTGAGGAAGGTCTCAATCCAGGGACAGCCTGCCCTGCCAGACGGACTGGGATCAACTCAACCCCCTCCTGCTTCCCTCTGCTGCCAAAAATGGGCTCTGTGCTTCACCTCTCCCATCCTCACTGCTTGCAGGTGGAGCTTCTCACAAACCATCTCACTGGGCTCCAGGAAAATAGCAGGGCTGGGAGCTTAACAGCAGAGACTTAAAAAAAAAACCAGTCTGGGAAAGACAAAAAAGTACAAAACTATCCCCCCCTAAAACTCCAAATAAAACTGAAATCAACAGAAGCAATGCAATGCTCAGTACAGCACCTCAGAGCAAAGACAAAGAGCATTTGGAAGCTCTGAGTATATGAAATATTAGCTAAGAGGAAGCAAGACTTTAAAGGCAAGGAAAGGGGAAAAAAGCAAGCTGCAAGTTAAGGAGGAAAGACATCCAGGCAATCAGAATAACAAATGAGTGATGGGGAGGGGGGGGCTAACCAAAACACCAGAAAGGATATTTTAAAGGAGTCAAGGTAAAGAAACAAAAGGTAAATATTCCAGGGCATCTTAAAGGCATCAGAGGAAAAAGCTAGAAATGTAAATATTGCCTCAGCACAGAGTGCACTCAGGCCTGGTAAAGCTGTTTACCCATCTGCCTGTTCCCAGCAGATCTGCCAGGGTGGTAACTGAGCTAATGGTCCATCTGCACCACAGCTTCTGCCCACCCCAACAGCAAAACCCTCCTTTTTGGAGCACTGCCAGGAGCCAGCACAACAGGAGCTTTGCCACTGCTCTCTGTGTGGTGGCAGAGCCCAGATGCACTCCTGCTTTAGGACCCATCTCCCTGAACATCCCAAATGCCTTTTTGAGTCAGCTCTGTCCAATATAAACTTCAATTGTCTTTTACAAAAGGAGGCTCACCTGAGCTGCTCCTAGGTCTTGTGCTCCAGACCTTTCACCAACTTTCACTGAGTCTTATTTGCCTTTCATGTCCCAAACCCTTTATCCCACTGTGCATGAAATGCAGGCCTCCAAACACTTTTGGGGGCAATGGTGTTTCTTTTTCCCTGCAACAAAGCAGGAACTCTGGGTATTTTCAGTTTCCCTCCCTGAAGTAAATCTGATCTAGTTCCTTTACTGTCATAGCTCCTCAAAAAAAAACCCCAAACCAACAAACTCCACAAAAAAACCTAAAAACAAAACAAAACAAAAAAAAAAAACCCAAAAAAACCCCAAACCAACAAATGAAAACAAACAAAAAAAACCCCAAAGAAACCACAAAAAAAATCCAACAAAAAACCCAAACAAACAAACAAAAAATCCACCAAACAAGCAATAAAAAACCCCCAAAAAACAAACAAACAAACAAACAAAAAAACCTAACCCCCCCCATGACTACAGGATTATTTATGGGTTTTCCCCCCATAAGCCAATTCTCAGCATTCATTGCTGAAAAACTTAAATACAGTCTCAGGCATTAAATGCAAAAGGAACAAGAAGTGCCACCTCTGCCTAAGGGATTGGTTCCCTGCTGCTGGGACTGTCTAACTATGGGACAAATCAGTGAAATCTGGGAATAATGAAGGCAAGGAAGGCCAAGCTGCATTCCCACAGCAGATATTTCTGTCTCCTCAGCTCGTGGAGCTGGCAGCACACAGTTGGCATTCCCTGGATTTAAAATACACCATCTCTGTGGGCTGAGTTCCTTTGGGAGTTTGTTTTGCTGTGTTTGGGGCTGGTTTATCCCTTTGGACCACCCTGGAAACCCCAAGTGCCCCCAGAGAGGAACACAAGTGAATTCCTGGAGCAAGTGACCCCACGAGCTGCTCCCACAGCAGTTTATTCCACGCCATGGCAGGCTGCAAAAGGGAAGTTTTGCATTTCACACTTTGTTTCTTGTCTGGGGGAGGAAGGATGAGAAGGAAGGTTTCACCAGCAAGCAGCTGCACAGCAGCAGTGGCTGGCTGCTCGCCCCTGAATCTTATTTTTAATCACAGAAAATCACTTCTTAACCATCAAACCTCAAGGCCAAGCCTTGTGCAAGAGCTGGAGAGGTTGCAGAAATTCGGATTCATCATCACATTTATGTACCAATGCACATTTCAAAGGCTTTGATATCAAAATATTATTGATCCCAGCTCTTCTGCCACTGGATTCCACGTGTCTGCCTCTGTAAAAGAGGAATGTGGCCCACTGTCCTCACTAAAATGACATTTAGTTTGTCACAGCAGAGCACTCCAAGGGAGAATGGCCAAAGGTAGCTCTGAGATCTGAGATGAAGTAGAGAAGGAACCAGCTCTGTGCTTCAAAAGGAGAGTTTGCTCTGCAGAGCAGGACCTGTCACAAATATTGCAGCAGCAGCAGCCAGCCTGCTGGCACTGACAATTAAAGGCTGCAAGTTATCAAAGCCAGCATGTCAAACAGCAGGTCCCAAACCAGGAACCCTGTGGCACTCTGAGCAAACTGCAGCGTGTGGCATCCCCTAGCTCTGCCCACAGCTCCGGGGTTTTCATCTCCTTCAAACTCCTGACCTGCTTCTCATCACCAAACGGCAGTGGAAGGCAAAATCTGCTGCCAGGAGGGCAGGAAAAGGGGAATGCAGCCAGCCAGCTTTGCCACCAATACACCATTCAATGCTTCCCTCTGACAACCTGACAGTAATTGCACTGAATGGGACTGAGTTGTGTCAAAATGACTTTAAAAGGGTGGCTGAGAATTTCCTGTGGGATGCAGAGGCAAGCATCAAGGCTTTCACTTCATTTTCCCTGCTGTCTCTGTGCTCCCAGAGGGCTCACTGCTCATGCTGCTTTCTGACAGCACGAGGACCTGTGTAAACACCCTCTGCCAAGAGAAAGCTTCACCAGACCCTGCCATTTGGTTCTGTTTCCCTCTGGCAGAGGAAAAGATAAATATTCCCACCTGATTCACAGCTGAGCTCGTTGCAAGCATATTTTTAGCAGCTACCAACCAGCTCTCCTGATAGAGGGAAAGCAACCCAAATGATAACATGGAATTATAAATAGAAGAGTGGCATTTTGCTTTCAGTGAGCTCTGAACCCTGGGCACCCCTCACCAAAGATGCAGCAGCTTCTGCACTCTGGAACTTGCAGACTTCACCCACCTCAGCAGATGACACATTTAGAACTTTAAAATACATCTACACAGTCAAAAATTAGTTTGGGGGGTATTTTTACACCTCTAAATAAAAATGAAGTTTCTTGGGAGTTCTTTAATTTTAGGCTGCTCACACATCAGTGCCTCTTAACAAAAGCATGAACAAAAGCATTTCCACTGAATTCTGGGTGCCTGCCCTTGTCCAAAGAGCAGTGATCTGAGTGCTCCTCTGGGCTGTAAGCCACGCAGCTTTCTGAGCAATACCCATCAAAAAACACAGGCAAATTTCATGGAACTGTCATTCCATCTGGGCTTTTCCACCCCAGGTGGAACAGGCTAAGCCATCCACAGCACTCCCCAAACAACGCTGACAAAACCTGCCATTTCTTTGGCTTGCAATAGAACAAAAAAATGCCACCAAAAAGCTTTTCAGGGCCCTGCCCCATTCCATGGGAAGCATTTGGAGGGACAACCAGCAGCTCCTTTTCTGGCTGGGGATGCTGCAGTTTGCTCCACACGTGGCCAAGTGCAGCATCCCCGCATCACCAGGCACATGGAAGTGCTGGTATTTTTACCTGCTGCAAAAATAAAAATAACAACAACAACAATAACGGAACACTGCCACTGCAGCCAGGCAGAGAATGAATCAGACTCCTGCACTATTTTTTCCCTCCCTCAGTAGCTGATTGAGCAGCCTGTTTTTAGAGCTGCCACAGTCAGAGGCCCGAGATGCTGAAGGACAACTCCTGAGGTAATTGTTAATTTTCCTCCCTCACTTGCTCAGAGGGAGGCAGGAGGAGAAATCCAGATCACACCACCAGGGCTTTTCCTGCATCTCCACACTGCTCTTCACCCTTTGCTTGCAGAGGAAGGCAACTCATGGAATGGGTTAAGCCAGAGAAAATACTTGCAGATATGATTCTGTCAGTTTGGGCAGAATTAGACCTGCTCATTCACGGCGTGGGGGCCTCCCAAGGAGCAGCTCAGTGATGTGAGAAACAGGGTGGATGCAGGAAGGGGCAGGGATTAATTCAGGGCTGGACAGACAGAACTCAGCTGCCAGAGGAAGCCCAGCACTGTCACACTGCCCTCAGGGCTGCTGCTGCCTCCTCCCACAGCCTCTGCAGCTGTGCTAAGGGCACAGAGAGGGGAGGGGGCACAGCCAAACCTGCAGCATCCACAGGGGAACTCAGCATCCACAGGGGAACTCAGCATCCACTCAGGAACTCAGCATCCACAGGAACTCAGCACCCACAGGGGAACTCAGCATGCACACAGGAACTCAGCATCCACAGGGGAACTCAGCATCCACAGGGGAACTCAGCATCCACTCAGGAACTCAGCATCCACTCAGGAACCCAGCATCCACAGGGGAACTCAGCATCCACCCAGGAACTCAGCATCCACAGGGCAACTCAGCATCCCCACAGGAACTCAGCATCCACTCAGGAACTCAGCATCCACTCAGACACCCAGGCTCTCCCTGGCCCCAAAGCCTTGCCTCCTTCTCACCACCACAGCCTGTTGATTCCAGCCTGTGCTTAGGGAACAGGCTATTTTTGTACAGAATGTGGGTTTGAGTCCTCTCTGAAAGAGAACAGGATCAAAGCCAAGCCTGCCAGCCCCCTGTAAGTGCCTTGGCCACTGTGCAGAAGGTGAATTTTGCAGGGAGAGGAATTGCTGCTGCTGACCCAATCCTGCTCTTAAAACATGTTCATCTCTTCCTGCCTTGTTTTCCTCTGCCCATCTCAGAAACTTGATTTATTTCCTTTATCTCTGCCTCTCTTTAAATACTGGGTGTCAACTGATCTCTGAAAGCAGCAAGCAAACTTCTTCCTTCTCCCTGCCTCAAGCTGTGGGCTTAATAATTTAAAGAGATCAGCAGTTTTGAGGCTGACAGAGAACCTGGTGGCTGCTCAAATATTTCTATTACAGTGGCACCTGAACTGTAGCTGGAGGTGTGACCAGAGGCAGCCTGTGCACATGGCATTATCCCTGGTGGGTCACAGGGAACACTCAGAGACCCAGGACAAGGAAAAAAGCAGCTCTCAGAGCACATGGAGCTCCAGGGAGGCAGCTGCACCCACGCTGCACAGTGGTGGGCAGCTCAGCACACAGCTGGGCACAGCTGGAGGGAGGGGCAGGCTGTGGGCAGCTCCCCACCTCCTGAGCAGCCAGAGGAGCCCGGGAGCTGCAGAGCCAGATCCTGAAAAGCATTCAGATGTCTGGCTCCTGCAGCGTGCCCACAGAGCCCAGGAGGATGGATGGGGCCCACACAACTTGCTCAGCATCATATGGGAACTGTGTGGGAGTCCAGACTTAACACCAGCTGGCCCAAATTTAGAAAGCAGAGCCTCCTTCTTAGCACAGCTCCCTAAAAATACACCTAGGAACAGGAGAGCAGAGATGCTGGCTCCAAAGGCCCAGCCAGCCCACCACCCTCCTGTCTCCATGGCAGCAGAGAGCACAGAGAGGAGAAAGGTACAGGGACAGGCAGTCGCACGTGACATCTCCCCACTGCTGCTCAGGGGCTTCAGGCACTCTTCATTCATCAGCTTCCTCTCTGCTGAGCTTCTCCTGCTCCCCCAGGTGAGCTCCTAACTGCACAGCATCCCCCTGGCCAGGAGATGGATGCACATCCTGCTCACACACAGAGCTCAAGGAGTGGCTGGAAAATGCTTAAAATTAATAGTTATCAAAGCCAACATGTCAAACAGCAGGTACCAAATGAGGAGTCCTGTGGCACTCTGGGCAAACTGGATCGTGTGGCATCCCCCAACTCTGCCCAGAACACTGGAAAATGCTGGCAGGCACAGGGTGGGATTTTTGGGGTGTCCTGAGCAGGGCCAGGAGTTGGGCTGGATGATCCCTGGGGGTCCTTCCAACCCAGCATGTCCTGTGGTTCCGTGGATGAAGGTGCTAAGGAAGGAGGTGGTGCTGCACTGCAGCAGCTCTGGCTCTCTCCGTCCTGTGAGGCCCTGCCAAGGTGATGCACAAGTGCAAAGAGCAGGGAAGCAGGAGCCAGGGACTGCAGTGGTGCCACTGAGGCTTTGTGCCAGCCCTGGCAGTGCCAGGCTTTGGGCAAACCAGCCCAGCCCCCACACTGCTGTACTTGCACCAGTGGCACAAGAGATTGTACAAACACCTTCTGGAAGAAACAGTGAAATAATTCATTGTTTCCTCCTGCTCCCCTGTTGGAGCAGAGCTTTGGGGAGTGCTGGCAATGTTTACTGACACAGAACCACAGAACATCCCGGGCTGGAAGGGATCCATGAGGATGATGGAGCCCAGCTCCTGTGCTGGAGCTGCTGCTTTTGAGGAGCTGCTGATGCTCTCTGCAGGTACCGCTTAATGCCCAAGGGAAGAGCACCCAAACACCAGCACCAGGAGCAGCCACCAAGCTCTCAGGAGCACGAGGAACTCTTGCAGCAGCACTGGGAGGAGCTGGCAGCAGCTCCAGCAGCACAGGGGCTCTCCCAGCTCACCTGTGCACGACCCCAGCCCGGTGCAGGTGCTCCACGGCCAGGATGAGCTGCCGGATGTACTTGCGGGCTTCGTGCTCCTCCAGCCTCTTCTTCTCGTAGATCTTGTGCATCAGGTTGCCCCCGGGGCACAGCTCCATGACCAGGTAGTAGCTGTTCTCAGTCTCCAGGATGTCCAGCAGCTGGGCGATGTTGGGGTGGCGGATCATCTGCTGGATCTGGCCCTCGCGCCGCAGGTTCTTGGTGACATACGTGTCCTTCTTGGCCCTCTTCTTGTCAATCACTTTCACTGCCACCTAAGGAGGGAGCAGGACAGGGGGCTGTTAGCTGCCACATCGATCACTTGTTGCTCCAAGCCCGTATAAAGAGCCATTAGAAACACCCAGAAGTCACAAGGATGCCCCTCCCAGCTGGCACGCTGCAGGCACAGCTGCACGGGTCAGAGGAAGAAGAGCTGCTCTTCCAACCCCACTGACTGCTCCATCCTTTCCTTCCTTGTACAGTGACAGTCCAAAATCCCTGCAGGGAAAGCAGGGACAAAGGAGAGGGGACAGTCCCACTAACCACCCACAAACACTTGACAGCTTCAGGCTGGGCGTTCATTGCAGCTGCTTACTCAGAAAGCCTCCAGGCTGGTGTTTACAACTTTTAAGTGTTGCTTTTGGCTTTTCCTGCCTTCCAATACACGACTGGAGATGATATCCTCTCATTACAATTTCCTTAAACTACAGTCAAGTGTTGGCTTTGCATGATTTGCATAAAAAGGTACTGAGAAAAACAAAACCACCTTGGTACCACTCTCTTGGCACATTTCTTTCTTCTGCTTTTTCTCTCTCCTGGGAGCTTGGGACAAGGGCAAGGGGAATGGCTCCAAAATGCCAGAGGGAAGAGCTAGATGGGATATTGGGAAGGAATTCCTGGCTGTGAGGGTGCTGAGGCACAGGATGCCCAGAGAAGATGTGGCTGCCCCTGGATCCCTGGAAATGCTCAGGGTCATCTGCACCTCCCCTCTCTCTGCACCATGAGCACCTGGCAGCTGCACTGCTGACTACTCACATTAGAGACATCATTTAGCCATCAGACAAAACAACAGGTAAATCAGAGCTGGATTCAGCCCTTCTGAGAGCCCCAGGTGATTCACCAAGGAAACAGACTTAAATTAGTACATTCTTTCAGCTAATGAGGTGGGACTGAGCACAGAGGCTTGCATGGAGTATTTAGACAGCAAACAGGAGTTACTCTGGTGAGAACAAACAGATGCACAGGTCACACAAACACGAGATACCACACTGTACAGCTGGCAGCACAACAAAATCTCTGCAAAAGTTAAAAAAAAATATTAAAAGCTGGCATATATCACAGCTGCAAGGTACAAAACTGCTTCGTGGAGTGGTAGCAGTATGGAGCAGCAATCTGTTACTCATATAGGCAAGGCACCCCTAATTCACGGGCAGAAAAAAGCACATTATAATGCCCACGTGTGCTGCTCAGCTGTGGGGGTGCAGCAACATCCTGCACACAGAGGACAGAGCCAGCCATGGAGGACACCTCCACCACCACCAAGAATTGGCTTTCTGTGCCTTAAGGACAAACTTTTCCCCTAATTTGGACACTTGCCAGGCACCAATCCCAGCACACAAGCAAGGCAGCGTGGGATTCACCCCAGCTCTGAGCCACCTTCCCCCCTTCCCTCAGGTCCAAGAGATCCCCCTGCCCAGCTGGCAGAGCTGGCCAAGGTGGGAACAGCAGATTTGCTCCAGCAATACCCAGTTCTAGGGATCAAACTCTGCACAGAGGTACCCCAGGGCTGACTTAGCTGAATACCCCTGATTTTGAGTTCAGGTAGAGCAAGGGAAGAGAGGACCAAATGTGCCCAGGCACACTTAACACACAGAGCCTCCTGTGCAGGGTGGATGTGTGTGCAAGCACCTGGAAATTTCATTCATGCAGAAGGGGAAAAGCGTTTGGGAGAGAAAATACTGTAGATGTTGGGTAATCATCAAACAAACACACGGGGGCTTTCACAGCCCACTCAAGACATGCCAATTACTCAGCTCTGCTCTCCCAAGCTTCAAGGAGGGGCTCTTTGTCTCTGTACCATGCCTAACTCAAGTCTCCTGACTCGAGTTCCTGGCCAACACTGGCACAGAAATAAAAAAATAAATTATAAAGCAAGCAATTACTCTCAATATGTAGCAACAGTGGCTCTTGACATTCTGCTTTTGGCTAAAGCTCTGCTGTGTAAATAGATAAATGGCTCAGGTTATTCTGTGTTATGAGATACAAAGATGAGTAATAGCCCATATTTTTGGTTCCTGAGTCCTAGAATCACACTGTTGGAATGAATTACTTTCCTGAAGGTTCTGCTGTGACACATCAGATGAGCAACTGCTGCTCCTCTCCAAAAACCCTCCAGGTTGGGCTAAAGCCCGCAGGAGCCTGGGCTAGGGCAGGGCCAGCAGCTCTGCTCTGCCTGGAGGAGAGGCTGCAGGGCAGAGGGGCTGCAGCTCCACGTGTGCCAGGCACGGAGCAGAACGTGTCCCCCTGGCACGGGCACGGGGACACTGCCAGCTCCTGCCCGGGGATGCTCCAGAACCCCAGCCAGACACAGGCGGGGGAGGCCGGAGCTGCCTGCCACCAAACTGCACAGAAACGCTCCCAGCAAGGCCCCCAGGGGAAAAAATAAACCTGGGAAGAAACGGCTTCGAGGAGCAAACGTTGCCTGGAGAAATCTGGGAGCCGCTGCCAGCGGAGATGACACTTTTTGCACGCCCTCTGTCCGCAGCGTGGAACGGCCACGAGGCAGGGAAGGGGGGGTCACACTCGTCCTGGGGGTGTCCCCATCCCTGTGGCCATCCAGGAGGCACCAGCTCCTGTTGGGCAGCTCCCCAGACCTGCTGCTGAGGGCAGGAGGAACCTCCAGGTGCTCAGCGAGAAATCCAAGCCATCCTCATCCCTCTGCCACCCAAGCAACACTTGGGAAAACCCAGCTGTGCTCCTGCAGGGATTAGCTTGCCCAGAGGGCAGTTTAGCTCTGCTGCTTCCCTCACTCTGAGCTCCTGAGCTATGCCCAGGTCAGATTCCTGCAAAAACAACTGCAGGAGCACTCCCACTGCAGCGGCCCCAGCTCGGCAGATAATGTTCTGACAAGTTTAACTCTGCAGAGAACAGGGGACGGCCTTGCAAAATCAGGGTGTGACATTTTGAGGGCTTTTGAAGAGCTCTCCCCACTTACCCAGCAGCCTGGATTGTTTCCTTCTGCGAGTTCTGAGCCGGAGAGGGAGGCAGCTCCTGCTGGCTGCTGCCAAAGGGAGCTCAGCTCAGCTGAGAGCAAACTGGCTGGAAAAAGAATCCAGCAAGAACTGTGGGATTTGGCCAGGAGACCAACAGAGCACCAGAGAAGCAGCTCCAACTATCAAAGGGACTATTTCACTGTTGGAGGGACAGCCCCCTGCCTTTTTCCTCCTTTTTTTTTCCCCCAGGGTCTCCTTCTGGCAGAGCTGCCTGCCATGGTGCCAGCACGGCAGCAGCACTGACACCCAGCACCATCCTGGAGCATCCTGCCCATGCCAAGGCAGCTCAGAGCTGGCAAAGAGAGCTTGGGCTTCTGCACCCAAATCACAGACTTGGGCTTCTGCACCCAAATCACAGACTTGGGCTTCTGCACCCAAATCACAAACTTGGGCTTCTGCACCCAAATCACAAACCTTTACTGTCCAGTTTGACCTCAGCCAGGAGAATGAGACAAAGAGCCAGACCGCAGAGAGACTTTGCAGCCATCAGTACTGCAAGTCCATCTCCAGCTTTTTTCTTTTTGCTCTTCTTGGGCTTCTATTGCTGCCCAAGGCAGCAATAAATTCAGTTTCTTTCCTCTCTTATTTCCAGCCATAGCTGTCTGGCTTCACTTGCAGCTTGCTTTGTATTTACCACTGTTCTCACCACAAGAATCTGAGCTCCCTTTTCAAAAGCAGCTGGTGATTTTGGGTGGCCAATTCAAATCACATTAAACAGACCTAACTCTGAAGCCTGCACAATTGTCAGCACAGCCCCAAAATCAACCCCTCCAAGGACGTCTCTTTGTGGGCAATCACCCAGCCAGGCACAGAACAAGTTGTTCATCACAACCGAATCCAAGGACTAGAAAATGCCAATTTCATTCTCTGGGTAGAGTTTATTCTTTTCTCTAACTGCTACAGCTTAGCAAATTTTACAGAGCAGTAAAGGAATGTGGGCTTTTTATGCAGCAAGTTCCAGTGTCTTAGGAAATAAAGCACTGCAGAAAAGGGTGTTTCAGCATCTGCTCTAACTGTGGTAAAATCAGCAATCAGGAAAGGTAGGGAGGAGTCTCTGCTGCTGAAATATTTTCTTTTAAGCCAAGAGTTCGGGGTGTAGCAGTGCACGAGCCCAGCTGCTGCAGACGAGGCAGGATAAACGTCCCAGCAGGCAGAAGGCCACTGGCTCTGCTGGCAGGCCAGAGCCAGCCAGGAAAGCTGGGAATCAGCCCCTGAGGACACAGAAACTCCTCCAGACAAGAGCAGCTCTCAGTACATTCACTCATGTGCTTTGCACTCCTGCTAGCCCGGAGGGAAAGAATCTGATTGCCAGGGGGTGAAAACAGCATCCCACCAATTCCCTGCAGCCCAAACATGACAGAAAGGGGTAGAAAGGGACTCAGGAGGACTTCAGATAAGCAAATGAACCTAAAGCCTCTTGGTGCCACAGCCAACTGAAACATAATCCCCAAAAGCATAAGCAGGATGTATTTGGTAGGAAAGGAAAGGTATTAATGACACCTGTCCGAGGCACTGGGGGCTATTATTGGAGTGCTCTATCCAGTTCTGGTGTATCCAATAATTAAAAATTATGCTGAAGTCTTGGAAAGAGTTCTGAGAAGAGCTTCAGAACAGTCTGAGGTCCTAGAGCTGTTAGCTGTAGTTACTGACTGAAGCTCAAAATGAATGTTTAATTAAGAGAATGCCAAGCACTGACTCGATGATTTCCTGCAAGCACCTGCATGGGGGAAAGATTTCTGATAAGAGAAAGCTCTTCAACAAAATTAAAATGCACATCCCAAAAGGTAAATTGGGCTGTTCCTCTTCAACATTCTGTTACCTCACATCATATTTATGGGGAACTTTGTGCCATGTTCCACAGGCAGCTGTGATTATCCTTCCCTGGGGCTCTGCTCTGCTGTTTCCATAGAGCCAGCTGCCCTTTCCCTCTCATCTCCTGTTCCTCCTTGTCCAAACAGGGACAGACAGACATATCCTGGCCTCTCAGCATCCCTGGAACAGCC